CGCTATTCACCACGGTATATTTCTGCAGGTAGCTTACAAAAATAGCACCAGTTCTAAGGATTTTACAGTTTTCTACAAAGTTAAACTTTTTAACTTAAAATATTTTACACAATAGCCATATTTTATACCAAAAAGAAACAGTAATGCTCAATTTTCATATACTGTAGACTCTGATCAGAAAATAGAGATATAATTGCGTTCATTTTGCTGTCACCATAACCTCTTCAAAAATCCTTGAACAACTCTTCAAATGACAAGCTTTTAGATGCATATTAGCATTTTTTTCAATTTTAAATTCTCTATAATATAAGATAAAATAGTTGTCATACTGCAGTAACTACTTATGACATATATAATGTCCTAAATTCAAAAATGAGATGGAGGATTTTTGTACTCCCAGTAAACATTTAGGCTTGCCTTCTGCTGCACACACCCCTCTCTCAGAACACACATTTAAATTATTTTGCACATATGAAGTGATATGTAATATATAATTGATGGATTTTTTAAACACTACATTTGAAACAGATACTGAGGAGTTAAGTTGCTACAGCCTTTTTCTGTTGGGGTGGGATTTTTTTTTTCTTTCTTTTGTCGTTGGGTTTTGGGTTTTTTTTTGCGTGTAGCTTGACCACAACAGTTAGCAGTATAATCACGGACAGACAGACTACAAACATCATCCAGGTACAATCAATCCTTGTTGGTTTACCAGAATCATCAGAATACTGAGTTGCCCTTTTTGCCTCATACTGATAATACAAACCAGAGAAGAACAGAGACGTTACTGAAAAATATTATCTTTTTCAATCCATGATTTTAGGTGGAAAATTACTGCACAGGTGTTTGACTTTGCAAACTAGGATTTATTTCACTTCAGTGGAAATTGTTTGCACTATATATTTCACTGATGGAAAATTAGAATATGATACAGAGCCCACAAACTGCTTTAGAATATTGTTAACCTAAGCTGTCATTATGCCAAATTACTAAAAAAAAGAAAGTTTAAATAGTCATTTCTGCTCTACCTGGCTAATCATAGTTATTTATGTAATGCTGAGCTAAAAACCTTAGAATGCATCTGAAAAGAGATTGAAAACCATGTTAAAAAATGAGATAATTACATGGAATCTTACAGCCGCTCTACCTAATATCAAATATATTCCAGTTCGTAAACATTGGAAGTTCTTTGATGCCATATCATATTGCATGTAAATAAAACTAATTGTCATGATGGTTTATTGAAATATGTTTGAGAAGTATCATTCAATTTTCCTACCTAGTCAATGGTTATGTTTTTTTTCAACATTTTCAGAGTCTGTAAATTTGAGTTTCATACAATATTTTCACACAATAAAAGCATTTATCGTTTATGACATTTTCAGATCATACGAAGTAGATGTTACACAAAAACTCCTGTGTCAAATAGTGGTATCTTCTATTCCAGAGCTGACGGTAGTTCTCATAGACACAAACTAGCTTTTAAAATACACAATAAAACGCTACTACAGACATGCTCAAGATATTAACTTCTTGTTTTCTGAATGCGTCTTAAACCCTTTGCAGCTCTGCTTAAATTACCATAAAAGCTACTGTTACAACTCCACATACAAAGGAGCCCCAAAAGTCCTCTATAAGTTAGAGCAACAGACCTTGCAAGGTGCTTGGATTGCGGTGACCAGAAAATTGTTCTCACCTCCATGTCATTACGCTCACAGTGAAGCAGCCCCCGAGCATGTTTGTGTTCGGGATCTAATATATTGCCTTTCAATCAGAGCTGAGAGCCACTGAACACATAGACAGAACATGACGAGCAGGTCAGGAAAGCAATAAAGATTTTACAGAGCTGTCCAAGGTGCTAAATTTACTCAATAATGGGTTTGGCACCATAGTGTTAACCTCTCATTTACTACCAGTTTGAGGGACTAAATTGAAGTAGCTGACTTCATTTACCTTGAAATGTATATTTTATGACATTATGTAAGTAGATTGAAAGGGCACTGCAGTTTTAACAATTTAAAGGCTAGAGCATGTTTAAGATGAAGCTCGAATATTTATTGTATATTGCACTTAAACTATATTGTATATTAAAATGCATTGATTAAATTTGTAAAAGGTATTATAAAAAAGGACAGCTAATATAAAAGATCTATGTCTTTTAAAATCCAATTGATACTGCATGTTACCACTGCAATGGTGATAGATAAACAGATAGATAGGTGGACAGAGCAGCAGACAGACATATCAAAAAGTGAGTGAAACTCTCAGTCTATAAAAAGAAATCTCTGCATAAGCTCAAGGTCTGTTATTCCAGATATTCTTTTGTTCACAGAAATTTTTCTTTGCCTTCATCTCAGAAGCCTACATTTTCACAGCAGCAAGTGGGCACCATGTAAGGTCCTTCCAATTGAATATGCAAGTGGAAATATTTCCTGAGAGAGACAGTTTGACTAAAGCTAATATCTAATTTATGGGGGCATTTGTCAAGAAGGATCCACTCTTCTATTAATGCTAAAAGTCTGACAGCTTTTGGCTTAGAATAAAGGACTTTGCAGCATTTAGTTAGAGCTAACGTGAGGGTCGTCTTGTCTTGCATTTTATTTCAAATGAGCATAATTTTATTTCTATAAAAATAACAATTGAGCAAATACTGAAGAGAGGAAAGATTACTTTAGTGATTAAATATGATGCATCAGAACTCTGTCCTCCATGCAGCTACACACCACAGATCCAGAGTCCATTTTTATTCCAAACTAAAGCTGACTTTCTACCGAGGGATTTTTACTTTTTAAATTTTTGAAACAGGAATGCAATTAAATATTTTAATCAATTTTTCCTCCTGAAAATACTAAGGGGTGTTTACATAAGGAAAAGAGGAGGCTGGGCAGGAAGTCTGCTGCAACTTTGCATATTCTGAAATTACTGTAGGAAAGATTTATATAATCTTACCGGAGTGACTGTGCTTTTGAAACACAAAGACTGAAATGCAGGCTGAATCCACTTCTGACAGAATGTACCTTGAACCAACATTACAGCAACTTTGAATGTTTTGTTTGTGGCATGCGTTCCCTTCAGAAGGAATTCATTAAGATCATGAAACTTGCATTTCAAGCTTTATCATGACAAAACCATTTTGTGTCAAGTTTTATCATGATAAACACATTTTGTGCCAGCTTTAAAAAAGGTGGGATATTTCTTCTGTTGACATCTGCTCACTTTTTATTCACCAACTAGTGAAAAAAAAACCACTCTGTGTCCCAAAAGGGCTGTGAGTCTAGCCAGCTAAAGGGTATGTAGAGTTACACTGAGTTATTTGGCATAAGTAACCATATTAGATAATGTTGAAGGTACTTGTTAAATCTAAACAAATTTTGTCAAGAAGAAGCTGACCACAATATATAATACTCATCAGCCACACGTTGTATTATTGAGACCACCAAAGGATTTATGTACTTGTGGAGGGCGTGGGGGGGAAGCTGTTCTAGCATACTCTGAGGCATTTATCTTATGTGTTGTCTAGATATCATATCACCTTCTAATGCTCTTTAGCATTGTAATACAAGAGAGAGCTCATTCATCTTCTGAGAGGGTACTTAGGGATGATGATGTCATTCATACTTCCTTGACTCTTCTGTCTGACCTCCTGGCTCTGCCT